TAGCTAGTTTAATGATAGAAAACTGCAAATTATTTTCATACTCTCATCGAATTGATAAACTTCTTTTGCTATGGTCTTAACACTGTGAGCGAAGGATGATATGAGTTGTCATGTACTTAGAGTCGAGAGGTGATCCAGTGACCAAAAGATAGATGGTGTCAAATCCACATTTTTATACAAGATTGTAACGAAATTCATAATTAAAAGAAACAAAATGGAATTACTGTTCATTTGGTGATAATTTTCATACATTGATCTGAAAATATCGACATACTGAGCTGATAAACTCCGTTTACAATGCTAATGGTATTTATGAGAGCAGAATGTGTTGACTTCTATCAATCGGACCTTTTGAGTCAGACATGTTTGAAAGAGTCTAGTTGGGTGGAAATAATTCAAAGTAAAAGGATATTTGAATCATGTCTTTGTTCAAACAATAAGCTAATAAAGAAATAATCATGTAGACACTATGGCAGCTAAGCTGCGAAGTTCACATTAGAATTTTCCTTCAACACTTCCTTTATAGTCTGCCAAAAGATTAGGGAAAAACCTATGTCTTTTGGATGTTTCTTTATCCACAACATGTAATTCTTAGATAGAAGTAATACCTTTAAGTGATTTAGTGTTCTTCGAGCCTTGTTATAGAAGTTTCATTAGCAGGCAAGGTGCCATTCTCAGTGCTATCATCCTCATTCTGAGCTATAAATCTTTTCTATCACTTCTGAAGCAGTACTGTATAGTTCTCTAAAGATTATTATTATGCATCTTTTGACACAAAACGTTTCTCTCTGCTTGATATATTTTAGTTTGTGGTAAGTTTGAAAGCGTAAAGCAAATAAAATGAAGAAGAGAAGTATTTGTTGTCCTTCAATTTTAGAATAAGATATTATGAAGTTTTTATTTGCATGTACTGAAAATGAAGAAGTAATTATATTATAAATGTGGATACAAACCTTCAGTTAAGTTGTAAAATAATCATTCTCATGTTTGTATGGTCTGACTTTATGTGTAACAGCAATAACAACATCAGGACATTTCGTACTGTTTATGAATACACAAACAAGCACTAGTTATCTAGCCGGTAGATTTTGTCACATACCGTTTAGATAATGAGACTTGTACTATCCCTATTCATCAAGCAAATAACCTACTTTCCATAGTTTTATGCGCCTCTTATGGATTCTAGTGGGACATATGCACTGAGATATTAATCATCGTTACACATCAGGAGCGGGAACGTTTCTTCATAAGAAAACTGATTGAATAAATAAAGTACCAGACAACCAACAGGTGTGGCAGAAGAATTCTTAGTCATTCTAACTCTTAACTGAACTACCTCTTATAGATGGGAACAAAAGATGGAAAGCAGTGTTAAAAATATGCAATTTAGGTAATTCACAGGGTCCTGGTTAGGATCATTTCAGGAAATGTATTGTACTTACACACTATTCTGATGAAGTACGTCATTCATTTCATGTTAATTGACGAACACTGATAGCATCACATCTATAGGAAAATAAACATCCCCAAACGCAGCAGGAACTAGTTTGATGGTATAATAATTTTAGTTTTATCATCTACCTACTTATTAGTAGACAAATCCACTTTTACGAAATATCACAAGTTATGACTTCACTGAATGACAAATATCATGGGCTCTACGTTTCCATACTGTTGGAAACACACAAGTTACACCATTTTGGTGTTCCCTGATCAGGAATAAGGTTATCTTTGGATGGCTTCAATAACGAAATCAGCTGGGATCAGTTTGCATTTATAGAAATCAAGGAAGTCAGATAGATAGTGGAACCATGTGGTGATAATATAATAAATTGCTTCTACAGGGACTTTTCATGTTACATGCAACAACTAACCACATTTTTGTCGACTACTATCTAAGTGACAACTAAACTACCAGGTTCAGTCCTCCATAGCACTAGTTATGGGCGAAGTGACCACTTTAACAATATCCCTCAAGGCAACATCAGTTTATGTATTGGCTTAGGCTGATTCAGATATCCCTTTTTTCAATTCATGTTTCTATTGGGAACAGTTTATGCAATAATACTACTTACTACCTTATCACCGATAAAACAGTGACCTACAATGTAGGTGAGCATAGCATGAAAGTGCTAACAAGTTCATAAATTACGTAAATTGCCATGGTATGATCTTCAAGCTTCAAGCCTATAAATATTTCTATCAAGTATTCATAATCAATTCTCACTTTTTATTCATTTTTTTGAATGCAAAATCTCTTCAGATTGTTGTATTTCTACTTATTATAAAGTATTTCGTGGCTCAGATATAAGCAAAAAGCCGTTATCAGACCAATGAACGTTTTGTAGATCATATAGGATTTTATCTTCATTTAACCATCTACTCGCTGAAGAATCTAAATTATTGAAGTAATCTCATGAAATCAGTTTCAAATTAAAATGACTAAATGGCTTCATAAATGAGGATTAAATGTAGAAAATTTTTGCATGTTAAGCCAATATCATCGCTGACAGTTAAAGGTTATTAAAGTGAACCTTAAGATTAAGAATAAAGTCTCACTTCATGATTGACACACTATTTGAAGGAAACTTAGTTCAAACAACTAGTCCGTTGTCTTCTTTATAGTTTAATTCAGACTGTGTGTATCAGGATAAATCAGCTACATCTGCGTGATACAATAAGTTCCAAAAGTTTTGCTGGTAATTCTTGGAAGTTCACATATGCATATTTAACCATTTTGAACCATATCGTTTATACCAGGCTATCTATAGCTCTTAACTAGATTTTTAGTCTGTTCAGTGGTAAGATGTCACTTTCTAGTCTTCTCACTACTGCTTCTACACTCACTTTGAATATAGGCAACCCCACTGGTGCTCCTAATATCTACCTGTACAGTTTGCTATTGAGTTGGAAATATATTGTAAGACATCAATCAAATAGTTCTACCAAACTTGAACATTGTAGTTGTGTGCAGTGAGAAAGGCATATTATTAACAAGACAAACAGTATCTATATCATAAGCTAGTTTCTGTTCATTTGTCGTGTATAAGGTTGTAGAGTTAAAAGATACCATCAGTTATCATTATTGATATTTATTATTATTTCCCTTGGGTTCTTAGCGGAACAATGGGATTCAATAGCACGCCTCCATTACACTCTCTTCACTGCAGTCCTTTCAACCTGGTGCCACCATTGACTACAACCTTTCATTTCTTCTTCACATGATCTCCTCCATGTCACCCTCACCTCAGACACCCAACTCGTCGTTTCTCATTCGGATCCCACTGGAGGGCCTGGCCCGACGCATGATGTCCCCGAATGGCCTTCTGAGTGTATGCCCAATCCAATCCATCTCCACTTCCTTCTGCATGTTTGGTGGGTGATAGGTTCTTGGTTGGTTTGTTGCCAGAGTTCCGTGTTGCTTATTCTTTCTGGCAATCTTATTTTCAGTATCAAGTGAGCGTAAGTGCCAGCTGTTGATGAATATCTGTAGTTTGTTGTAAATACTTTTTGTAACACGCCAAGTTTCTGGACCATATAGGAGTTGGTTGTAATCAATTTGAGTAATCTTTAACTTCTCGAAAAGTTGATTGGAAAGTTGAAATTAATCATATAAGACGCTGAGGACACTAGCATGCTCTCTCAAAAGAACTCCTCAAAAAACTGTAGTATTTGTCAGGTAATACTTTTTTCATTATTAGAAGAAAGGAAGTGGAAAACGCTTACGAAAAAACTAATAGCGTTTATGATGATGTCAGAGACCAAAGACTCAAGTATAGCGAAAACCAACTCAGTAGCAACAATCCAACAGCATACAAAGTCATTTAAATAAAAGAATAGCTGAAAAAGCTTACGGCGAAAATAATAAAACTGTGTAAGGGCTGTTTTTCAAGAAGAACAGGTATCCGTGCAATTTTGTTGAATTAGCAGTTAATCTAAATGTAATCCATCTGAGAGATCTCAACTAGATCACTAAGGCCATTGGGAATAGATATAGCACGTACAGGTATAAAATCTCTTCGCCACATGTTATACAGGACGGAAGAAACAAACACGAAGAAAGACAAGTGGAATGTTACCTATAAAACACAGTACAGAAACTGTTGAACAGGATGACCATTTTTCTTTATGCTCATCTACATGAATACCAACTAACAGTGGTGCGTCACAACATAACATCGCTCATATCAACTCATTTAAATAGTCACAGACACGAATTTCACTAGAAAAATATGGGAATCTTTAAGAAAAGAAATGCAAATGAAGCCAGGAAATTCTATACGTTTGATGCTAAAACCAGTCAGTGATCAACAGGTATATAGACGCTGATCTAGCTATCAACCAATAACAAACGCGGGAAGCAACAAGAATTTCAGAGTTCAGATCAGCAGGATGTTCAGTCGGAGTATGTGTACAGATAATGACACGATTATAACAAAAGTAACCAATGATGCCCAAGACTACCAAGTCAACCTACTGAACTACAGCTCACTTCTTTTCGAAGTGACAGCTGATGATATTGTCTTGAATAACAAAGATTATACCATCTAGCTAGGAGAACAAAATACCGTCAAGTTTCATACCTTAGTGAAAATTATCACAAATCTGTAGGCAATGGAATAACAGGAGTTCTATGTTTTTGTTTCACTAGTTTTGACTTCATATCAGAAGTTTGAAGTCTTATGTGTGATAAAACTTATCACAACCTTTATCTTGTGTGTTATTCAGCTTTCTGCTTGCTGGCTGATATTCACAAGACGTATTCAAAGCCCTGTGACTGTAATCACTTTGTGGAAGATTAGAGACCTTGATATTCAGCGCTATACTTTTAAAAGTTACATCCATACCAACAAGGTCATTACTGACTGGTGCATATATATAACCGAATAATCATTGAAGTTATCGAACAATCTAATTACAAATCAATGACATTTGTTTAACTACTTATATACATTAACAATGCCACATAACTATCTCCATGCATAAGTTTTCATGTGATCGAATGGCCTATTTACTTGTGCCTTACATCCAATAAATAACGTATCCGGTTTCCAAATAATCTATTCGCTATTTTCATGTTTAACCATACTATGACCCTTAAACAAAAATATAAAAATACCAGTCTGTCTGAAACATCTAGGCTAGTCTTGTTATTATGCAATATGCAATCAACTGTGAGTCAGTAAAGTTTCTTGTTCTCTATCTATGTGGATAATTATATTGATTTAGATGAAAACGAATTATTTCGCTACTTTTTGGTGATTTTTATGGCTTGTGATGTAGTATTAAGCAACCTTAGAAGAGCCTAGCCCTAGACTGTAGATGATATTTTCATTTCGGTAAATAGATAACAAGGTTCTGAGTTATTTTTGATAGTGGAATATATACTACACCTCCCTAAAGCAGTTTCATGCGTATCATGTAGGACAGAGTGATCGAATGTTATGATCTCTCTGATTATCTGGTAGGCGTATCATTCCTGATGGGTCGATAGTTAACTGAATCTCAGCATAAATCCAAAAGGTTAGACTGAGTTTTGTTATCTCATTTCATCATTAAAGTAGGTGGGATATTATTATTATTATTATTTGATCCTTGGGTTCCTAGTGGAACATACGGCTTCAGTAGCACGTCGCCATTGGACTCTGATCTTTGCAGTCTTTTCAACCTGGCTCCACAACTGCGCACAAGCTTCTATTTCCTCCTCACACGATCCGCATATGATTTGTTCTTCCTGAAGCCAGTCAGCCTGTTCTGGTTGTAATTTGGAATCCAGAGCACCGTTAAGTCTCACCAGGATGATGCGGCATAATAAATGTGCTTGGGGTGAACAGAGACAGGAGCATGATTCCCCACCAGTTCTCACAAAGACTTAAGTCTCTCTCCTTTGGAAGTTTGAAAAATTAGCCCTTCTTACAATCAATCTGCAGGTACCTTTCCTTCCTTCCTTCCCTTCAAACCTTCTGCAATAATGGCGTGAACATATCCACTGTTGTCTCTGAGTCTGTTGTCAGTACCTCTGGAGGAATTCCATCTGGTCTTGCTGCTTTCCTGGATTTCAGCAACTTTATGGCTTTCAGGACTTCACTTCTACTTTTATTGGAGGGCGTGGGTTCACTGATGATTCTGTGACTGTGCTGCTGGTGGTATTTCTGGATGAGTTGCAGTTGGTGGTGTTGGTGGTGGATTCAAGAATTTTTAGAAGTGGTCAGCACATCGTTTCGTTTGTCTCTCCTATCTCTTTGGTTACTAGGTTTCCTTCACTATCTTTCATTGTTTTCGTCTGCGTTGATCTCTCCCCTCACAGATAGTAACCTGGTTATTGGATATAGTGTTGTTAGGTCTCCGTCTCTCCTACAAGCAGCCTGTTCTGCTTCACTCGCCAATGTGTCATAGAAGTGTCTTTTGTCTTTGCGCGCACTCTCCTTCACTTCTCTGTCTAGTGTAGTGTTTTATAGGTTGTGTTCAGTTCCTCTTTTCGTTGTTCATCCTTGAACTGCACTGCACTGATTTATCTTCTGTTTCACCATCTTCCTCTCTCCCCTCTATCAACTTCCATATGTCCGTCGAGATCCATTCATTGTCTTGTCTTTGTCTTCTCCCTTCCTAATACGGTTATGCATGTCTCTTTCTACATCTCTTTCAAAGAGTTCCAGTGTTATTCCTCTTAGGTTTTTTAGGCATGTTGCTCGATATCTCCCATTTTTTGTGTTGGCTGATGTGAAGATGTCCTTTGTAGTTTCGTCTTTCAGTTTCCGGGTGTTGAACTTGAACTGTGGTCTATCACCAACTTTTTTGAAGGCTTTCAACTTGATTTGGAAGGTTCCTTCAGATGATTATGCTGTTTAAGAGTTCACTCCCTTCTTGTGCATTAGTGAATTATCAATATGTTTAGGTTGGGGCTACATTACATAGTAAGGAAGTTCAGTCAGCTGAGTTGGAGAATATGTTTTCTTTCTTAAATTCAGTTATAATTCAATATTTGCACTCAGTATTCATTAGAACTTATAACTCAGACATGCACAGAAATCAGAAGGGTTCTAAATGCAATAAGTTTATTCCAAACAGTTTCGAAGGTTCAGTTAAACAATTCACATGGAGTTCAACGAGACAGATCAGCTAAATAATGACTACCTATGCTTACATAATTATAACAGCACAGAAGAGGAACAATGATTAAGAATATTAATACATATGAAAACAATTTCGTTACTTGATTCGACATCATTTATTGACTGATACATAAGTCAAGTGCCGTTTAGGTCGTGGACAAAAACCATAGGGAATTTCAAATTATGATATTGCTTGTAAATTCTCATCGTTGGTTGAATCGAATTGATAGGCCTCTATCGCCACATGTATTCCTCTACAGATGCCTCGACAATGCCTGTAATTCAAGTTTAATGGAAGTGATGGATAACTTAGTGGATAACATTCTGATGCCTGAAGCGATCGGTCTTGGTTTTCAGTCATAGTGGGTATAATATTACTCACTGGGAGTTAGGCACATCCAGCTGGCGAGTCCAAAATAAGACGAAATCCACATCCTGGATTCCTTTGCTAGCCATTATCGATCACCAAAATACCAACAAATCTTTATAAGCATATAATACACATTTATAGCTACTGCCAACCTTATTGATTTGATAAAAGTTAGTTAGATGTCAGATTTTCCGTGGTGGCCATATAAAGACATGTTACCAGTTCATAAATTCATTGGTTGTTGGCCTGAGTTTTATGGGTAAGTATCAAATTTCTAGTTAGCTTTCGAGAAATAATAAAGATTGAAAGCTTATACTTAAGTTAAAGGTCTCAGAATTAACCAAAGATGTACAGATGGATCCAAGCCTCGCCTTTATCCTAAGTTTTGAAAACCTTATCTCCTCACATTTTTCTACTTCGTGGCTTTTTTGTCACACTTGTTTGGAACACTGTCCTTATCTTTTATTTGCTATTTAACTTCCTTTCATAGAAGTGATGTGCACTTTCATAAACTCATGCTCGATTGCTTCTTACGCAAAACCAAAACTTTACCTGATTTTTCTCAGAATTCTTTCTACTATTTTTAGTGTTTTCAATAATGGGGCAGTTTGAGATGAGTGGTGTGAGAGTTTGTACTCACATTTTTCCATTTAGTCAAATTCACCACGGTATTTATGACTAGTTTAACCTTTTGACGATTTGGTGTAGGACTAGATAAATTACTCACCGAAATTGACGTACTCCACGGAGGAAGTAGTGTCATTAGTTCATTGGAGGCAATAGACTAGCAGACCTTAACTTAAGTTTCCTGCTTTTGGCACTCACCAACAAGGTATGTCTGAGAACTTGAATGAACTGATATCCTTTCAGTGAATCGAGTCTGTTTCACATTGTGTTACAGTAAGAGGCGTTACCACAGAGGTAATTCGTAACCATTCAAATCAAAAACCTAACATCGATTCAAGTGGACTATGGTGCTTAATTCCTCACTTTAATTAATGATCATATTTCTAGGACTGAGGAGCAGAAAATATGAACCTGGTTTTCCTCTAGTGACCTGTCGATGTAGTGAAGTAAGGTTTATAGTTCAAAAGCTATTTATGAGCTAAAATAATGGATTTTCAATCATGATTCAGCTGGTCTTTTACTAATTAATATATGCTCAGGCTGAGCATATGTTTTTATTGCAAAATTTAATCCATTTACATTATCAAATGGTTCTTCTGTGCTTCAACGATAGCAGTAAGTAGATTCCTTATACTGAAAATTAGATACTACTTATTTTCATAACTATTCTACCTATAAAATTAAGTATGTGAAATCATTGGTTTCCTTAAGAATACAGATATCTGTTGCTGATGTCTCCTGGCAAACAACTTAGTACATGACTTTGTGTTGTTTGGCTGAAATATTCCAAACACTCTAACGAACTATACCTCAGTGTCTTACGAAATAGTTTAGTGGTAAAAGTGATTGACAGATTTTTATCGCTACCAATTTGATTCAACGTAGACATATCTAGTTATGGACAACGAAATATGACTTTAAAAAATAGTCATTGAAAAATATGTCTGAGGTGTTATTTTTCTCTTTCTTTATCTAATTACTGAATTGCTCATTCATAGTTCACAACCAGTTTGGCTGAATTCTGTTTACTTTTGGTAAATCAAAGATAGAAGTAGAGGTTATACTGAAGTCTATCAAACCGTATAATTCGTTGAGCCCCTGAGTTAGTTGTTTTGGAGACTGATGGTTTTTATATTTCATGGGGACAAGAGTCATGGGTATTCATAATTGAGTATACACAGGTCAAGGTAAATGAGCTATCTAACCTAATTCATGAACGTTTCTCGTCCTAAATTTGAAAAAAAGCAGGAATAGTAACATGGGACAGGATAACATGGATCTGTTTGAACTCAATGGCATGTAGCTAACTGTTTACAGCCAAAAATATCATGATACATGGTTTTATTGAAGTGTCAGGTAGCAGAATCTTCGTCAATTGTGAAGACGGATAGAAATAGTTAGAGTGTAGTTGTTAATCAGAATGGTGAAGTCAAGGTATGTACATAAATGATAACAAATTGTCACACCTAGAGTCTCATAAATAGAAATAAGCAACACGGGTAGCCATCAAAATATTCAGGGACTTTAAATATGAGATAATTTTTTAAATAAAACATGCTAAATATTATGAGGTAACCTCACTTAGTTGAAAATAGTATACATAATGCTGATTGGTCGCTTCATGTTGTCTAGTCCAAAGTGATTATCGAATTTTGTTGAGCATTTTGCAATATGGTCACCAGAATAGGCGACTCAGAGTCACGATGCACTACAGGAAGTCAATCGTGGCCGAAAATGATCAGTGGTAAGGTCTCTGACTGAAATACTAATTGATGCGGGTGAATTCACTTCCGTCGAAGTTGCTGATGCGCCTTATTGACGACTGCTAAAAGGCACGAAACCTATGTCAAGTGGGACTCTCTGTCAATTGTATCCCTCCAACTACCACTGTCTATAGGAACACGTATAATTTAACAAAATATTATGCAACGGAATAAGCATGAAGGAATAAGCAATAAAACTTAGTTAAAGATTAGGCACACATTAATAAAAGGAAAAATAACCTTGTTGTTGGGATGGGAAGAAGATACAAACCTTGGCATGCAATAACTGTGCTTTTGTGAAGGGTTGTGCTTAGGTACATCTAACGTAGTTTGACCCTAATTGAAATGTTATCTAAGTATCTTGAAACACATAATACAAGTGATTTTAAAAGAACTTTCAAATATATTTTCATGAACATTAACGCTTAAATACCCTGTCTAAATCTTTTCAGTGTAACTGATTACTGATATAATATTTATATCCTTCGTTTCTTTTAAACTAAGCCTTTTGAGAACACTGGAACAGGCAATTGTCAGAAAATGGATAAATTAACCGATTCAGTCGTTGAAAAAGTGAAACAAGGTAAACTTCATTCATCTAGCGAAATGCTGATTGGTAGTGAAAGGGGTAATTTATCACCGATTTGGTGTGCATGTTTACCTGGTGCCGGATATTATTCACCAATTACCAGGAATTCTTCATCTGAAATAATTAGTATGAATTATGGAAATATTTTGACTACTAATGGTCAAATTAATGTACATCTTTTACGTTTTGGACCAGATCAAGATATCTATGAATGCTTAGTGCATCATATTCTACGCCACCATTTATCTGGAGGTTTCATTATAACATGTTGTGGCAGCGTTAAAACGGCTCATCTACGTTTAGCGAATTTAAAAGTGAGTTAAAAGTTTACTGACACAAATTATATTACTTATTATCGAAAAGTAGGTTAATCTATTTTCAAAATTATCAAATATGGCTAGCGCACAGTACAGTCATAATTCCTACAAATCAACTACCTAAATGAAACTTTTCTTCCCACACTTTACATAAACATCCCTGTATATATATCCATAGATATAAAGTAGTGTTGGAGATGGTAAATAGAGTTTAGGACTTCAGGTTGAAAGAACATTTTCATATGAGTAGGCGGCATACTGGAAAAACAAGCGGAATTGAAGATAACGCAAACGTTCTGAAATCATCAAATTGTTACAGGTTATTCAGGATATTGCTCCGTCTTTGATACTTTTTGAAGTCAAAGCAGTGTTCTGACCCAGTGAAGTCTTTTCCAGAGCGTACTGCATTCTTTAAGATATCTAAAACATTAAAAGTTGCGCAGATGGGTAATCTTTTTATTGCATATCATGGACTTGAATTATTTTGCTTAGTCACCTTTTATTAGTTAGAGATCAGGTGTTTTTTATACTTGTGATTACACTATATTATTAGTTTGAACGCTTGCAGTAAGTTACTTCTTACGTAAACGTGTATTTCTCAGTAAATTGTTATGTGGAACGTCCAATCAAATGTCATATGAGGATAATGATGCAGATTCCAGACGATAATTACACCAATTTAAAGAGGTTAGATCTTTTTTATGCGGATAAGGAAAGTGGTACAACTTCTCAAACCCCAGCTCCGACATAATAATCATTCGAGCAGTATCAAGGCGTCTGCTTAGGAGCCCATTCGTCAAGAATGGTAGGATAACTTGACCCAGTCGAGTAACGGTAAATTCCAAGTGCCAATAAACAATATCAAAGCTTAGTTTGCACATTATATAAATCAGCGGTTTTCTGTGTAAAGTGCTTTTAGGGAAAATGTGTAAACTGCTCTACACAACTTCAGGGACAATGTTGTAAAGCAACTATTTTTGTGTGTTGGAAAGTTATAGAGGCTATGATCACTAATTTTGAATGCATAGATTACATTCAATGAATTAGGTACTTATCGACACTGTTTTTTATTCCACTTTAAACATGTGAAGCTAGTAAAATTGTAACATAACTGAGTTAGAATGGTTTCTTCACTCAGATGGATGCATATTTTAACATGTAGATTGAAAATACTATAGGCCTGAAAACTACTTGACCTAGTTAAAGGTGGAATGATTTCCAAGATTCTCTCAAAATACTCTCATGTGGCATTCATAGCCTCTACAATCGAAGATCCATCCAATACCTACATGTCGCAGCTTGGAGATTACTTTCACTAACGTGAGAAGGTGACAGAGAATGTTCAATATTATAATCAAATTGGTGTACAAGAAGGGGTACATCTGAGGGCTAAGAAACCTTGATTCAAAACCAGCAGTGAGGATGGACCTCATCAGTCAGAACAGAGAAATAGGGTATGAATATACCTTGGCCACTGGCCACCATGTGAATCAAACATATATTGCCGTGTCGCTGTCTTCACGATCGAAATTCAACTTAGAGACTCTAGAAGTTGTCCCTTATGACAACTTCCTGTTTTGAACTGAGTGTTCAAGCAGTATCGTTGCTCACGTGCGGCTTATGTATAAACATTAATAGACATCCAGAAAGTTGCATTGACTGCCATACCTTATACATCTAATCTGAAACCATGTGGACTACTTAAGCCAACTTAATTCAACGTCTGAACCTTGAAACAGATCTGACACTGGATGATTTCGGCCAGGGCCTTGAAAAACTTCTCTATTGATGTTTCATCCATACAAGGTACCAACGAAGCGCAGATCAGAAGTTGTATTCATAGTGACATTTTTAAAAGGCACCTTGGCATCACTAGCCTGTCTCACTAGTGTTGATGTCGAATTTAGTGCCAGAGCCAAAGCTACCCAGGTCGAATAGATTTCCATCAACAGTTGTCCTTATGCTACTCACCTGGGACTTTTGACTGACGTGAGAAGCAAATAGGAGGGAAAAAGATGTCTCTTCGTTATCTTCTACTAAGTCCTGACTGACTGCAGCCCAGATTCAGTTAAGTATGAGTTGTACCTTCATTTTACTAACCTCAGCTTAGTACTATCTATAGGTATCATTGTGCCAGCTAGGAATTCGAATGCAAAAGTTGAGTATCTAAGCTCAGATGAGAATCGTTTAGGTAACAAATGAGGATTAGTTGGTTGAAGGCCAAATAATAAGGAGCGTCATCAGCAAAATTTATGCGGATCACAACTTGTTACCAGCAACGTTTGGGAAAGCAATCACCGTTGTCTCACATGGCGTTCTGTCTCAGCCACCCAAGCCTGGATTCAAATAAATGGTATTGTAATTAGCTATCAATGATATGGGTGTATTCCTGGCTGTCCCTCCTTTCGGAGCACTTGTCTGGACTCTGATTTGGCCTCACTGTGTGCTAAGTTGATCTTAATTTTTGGTGGTTGTCAAAATTGCCATCCAAAATACATTGATATAAGAAAACTGGCTGCATATAGTATTGCAACTAGGAACATAACCATAGTTGATTCAAGCCCAGCTGTATACCCTCCTGGAAGTATAGATGTATATTGAATGAGCTTACAAGACGCCAATGAAAAGGCGAATAAAGAAGCGGGAAGCTTTGAAATACGTTTGTCTATAAAAGGCTAAGACTCTGTTAGCTCTTTACAACTTCTTGACTATTGTTTGCGTATTCCGGAAGGTGGGAAGTACACTGGTGGTGACAAGTGCCTTATGTGACGGATCAATCACCACTTGTGTAAAAACCGTAACACCTGCTGAAAAGAACACGTGAGTGAGGTTAAAGCAGCCCCGTCTGACAACCCAAGTCACCTTAGCAGTAGACTGTTGTCAGTTACGTTTTTTCTACAATAAATGTTGCACTAAAATGATAGCTTTCAAAGACCCTTGAACCCATGGGTTGAAAACCTACGGAAGCATTTAGCTGGTCTACTCCTCCAAAAACAGTGATCTCAATGTATTGTGCTCCGAGGTTACCGATCCACTTAACAAAGCAAAGATTATAGTAAACTTAAAGTTGTAAAGCCCTGTAAAACCTCACCTGTTTAACTAGTTCACTAGTTACTAGCCGATCCTAAGCACGGATAATGAGAGAAGGTTGGGTATAGGGCTGGCAACCCTACCCCGGAAAACCAATTCAACCACTAAAGAAACTTCAAAACACAAACAAAATGTAAAAAATAATAACAAAATTATTCCTCACTGGAATCGGAGAGGCGAAATGACGCCACCTGGTGAAAGCCTGCCTTCGGGAAGCCAATTGGCCAGGCCAATGTGTCTTCTCTCTCTCAATGAAAGCGAAAGTGAACGTGGGGACATGGAATGTCCACACCATGTTTCAACCCAGCAAGGCAGCCCAGATTGCAAACGAGATGGAGAGGTATCACGTCGAAGTGCTTGAAATTTGCGAAAGTGGATGGAATGGGAGTGGACTCTCCAAACTGTCAACTAGAGAATCAACAATCTACTCCAATATTGTCACCCAGACGACAACCACGAGCACATTGAGTTGTGGAGTGGCTATCATGATGTCCTACCCTCAAGAGCATCGAAGGCTCTCATGCAGTGGGAACCAATCTCTTCCTGCAGGATCATGACAGCGGTGTTCAACTCGAAAGGAAAGAAGGAAGGTCACAATCATTCAGTGCTATGCACCTACAAATAATGCAGGTGAAGAGAAAAAGGAGGAATTCTACAGACAACTTCAATCAACACTGGACAGTTGGTGATACCAAAATTCTAATGGGCGATGCAACATGAATGCCAAACTGGGAGGGGGCAACACAGGAAGAGAACTAACCATGTGTCGAGAAACGCTTGGTGAAATGAATGAGAATGGAGAATTGTTTGCAAAATTCTGCGCATTCAATCATTTGGTGATTGGAGGCAGTGGGTACAAACACAAAGATATTCACAAAGGGACATGGACTTCACCAGAAGGACGAACTACACTAAAAATCGGATTGGCTTTATCTCAATCTCAAGAGAGTGGAGACGCAGTCTACCGGACACAAGATCTGATCGGATCAAGAAGGGGAGCAGATGTAGGTTCACACAACTCACTATGTAGTGCAAGGAACCTTCCAAATCAAGTTAAAAGCCTTCAGGGAAGTTGGTGAATGATCACAGTTCAAGTACAACACTCGGAAACTGAAGGACGAAACTACAAAGCACATCTTCATGGCAGCCAGCCATCAAGTCAAAATGGTAGATAACAAGCAACATCCGTGAAGAAACGTGTTTGGATGAACACTAGAACTCTTTGAAAGCTATGTGGAAAGAAACCTACATAACGGTGTTAGGAAGGAAGAAAGATCAGGACAAGGAATGGATTTCGATGGATACATGGAAGTTGATGGTGGAGGGGGAGGAGGATGGTGAAGCAGAAGATAAACCAGTGCAAGGATGCATAATGAAGAGAAGAATTGAGCACAACGTATAAAACACTGGACAAAGAAGTGAAGAAGAGTGCGCGGAAAGACAAAAGACACTTCTACAAAACACTGGCAAGTGAAGCAGAAGTCTGCAGGTAGGAGAAATCTAACAACATCAAATAACCAGGTTACTATCTGGAAAGAAAGAGATCAACACAGATGAAACCAAGAAAAGACGATGAAAGAAATTTAATTACCAAAGAAGAGAAACAAAGGAAACGATGGGTCGACCACTTCAAAAAGCTCTTGAATCGGCCACCACCTGCACTTCGTCCAGAAATACCACCTGCAGCCGCTGAACAACAAGTGAACATAAATCCTCCAACAAAAGTCGAAGTCCTGAGCGCCATAAAGTTACTGAAATGTGGGAAAGCAGCAGGACCAGATGGAATCCAACCAGAAGCACTGAGAACAGATGCAGAGACAACAGCGGCCATGCTCACACCACTATTGCAGAAGGTGTGGAAGGAAGAGAAGGTACCTGGCGATTGGAAGAAGGGTTACCTTGTCAAACTGCCGAAGAAGGGAGACCTCAGTGTTTGCAAGAACTGGCGCGGAATCACTTTCCTGTCCACCCTCAGCAAGCAAAATATTAAGCTGTATCATCTTGGAGAGGCTAAGGAATGCACTGGATTCAAAACTACGACCGGAACAGGCTGGCAGGCTTCAGGAAGTACAAATTATGTGCGGACTAAATTGCAACGCATCACAACGCATCATCATAGAACAGAGTATAGAATGGCAGTCAACCCTCTACCTCAACTTTATCGACTTTGAGAAGACCTTCGACAGCGTCGACCGAGAGGTAATTTGGTAGACAGTTGCTTCAATACTACGGAGTACCGCAAACCTTTATCCGCCTCATTCAACAGCTATACAAAGATGCCACATGACAAGTAATTCACAACGGGAAGCTCAGTGATGCTTTTGAAGTGAGGACAGGAAGGAGTGAAACAAGGTCGCCTACTATCTCCCAGGGTATTCCTGATTGTGGTGGACTGTATCACCCAGCAAACAGTGGGGAGCTGTGAGAAGAAGGGGATACGCTGGACTGCGGAAAAGAACCTAGAAGATCTGGATTTCGCCAATGATGACTTGTGCCTGATGTCACACAGAGTTGAAGATCTGCAGGCAAAAACTAACAAGTTGATAGAAGAGGCAGTGAAGACGGGACTTTATCCAGGTGAAAGTAGAGAAGACGGAGGTGATAAAGATACCCAACCAACAACAACAACAAACTCCAATCACCATCAACGGGAGAAACTTAAAGTAAGTAGCCTTTCACCTATCCATCCAGGCAGCACTGTTTCAACTACAGATGGCGTCACAGACGTGGACGTGAAAGCCAGCCAGGATCGGAAAGACAGAAAGACAGGCGTTCATTAGCCTGAAACAAGTGTGGGGATCTTCTGAACTCAGCATGTGGAAGAGGATCCGGATTTCCAACACCAATGTCAAGTCAGTGCTTCTATGTGATGGTTCAGAAATTTTGCGCGTCACGAAAAGCACTTGCAACAAACTACAGATATTCATCAACAACTGCCTATGCCGGCTCGTTACTGAGGATGAGATGGCCAGAAAGAATAAGCAACAAGGAGCTCTGGGAACAAACCAATTAGGAACCTATCACCCAACAAATATGCAGAAGGAAGTGGAGATGGGTTTGGCATACACTGAGAAGGCCGACAGAGGACATCATGCGTCAGGCCCTCGAGTGAAACCCCCATGGGAAGCGACGAGTTGGACGCCCCAGCTAAGGGTGACATGGAGGAGATCGTGCGAAGAGGAAAAGAGAGCTTCTAGGCTGTCGTGGAACCAGGTTCAAAAGATTGTAGAGAACAGAGTTCACTGGAGACGTGCTACTGAAGCCCTATGTTCCATTAGGAACCCAAGGGACTAATAATAATAATAAAGCCCTGTAAGGCTCTTTGTCCGGAAAGCCTCCCCCTTTTTAAGTATAGGGAGGCGGATTCATTCAGAAAACTGAATGAATTTTTCGACAAGATATTGCAGATTGAAAATTTTCCGTCAGTCTGAAGCAAAACCATTGTCAGACCCATCTTTAAAAGTTTTCTACGTAGGGTATGTTATAATTATCAGGGTATCAGTCTACAAGTGACTGTGTCTGAACTGTTTTCTTATATCGTGTTCCGCAGTGTCTGTAAAAAGCGTGAGAAGTTGATCCACAGGGATCAAGTCAGATTTCTTTCGGGCCGTAGACGTTTTCATCATGTGCTTAACACACGCTAGATCCTTGAACACTGTCACAAGTATTACAGGTCAATGACTGTTGTATTTCTCTTCATTATGGCTGTCTTCGATTCATCATACTGGGCTTCGATCTGGAAACATCTGTCAGATAAAGGCATCTTTGAATTGATGGTCAAAATGTTGAGTGCCTAATACTTCAGCACCTCAGGTAGATTGAAGGGTTATAGTCACCTACCTCCGACTTTTCTTAATAATCGTGGGATCAGACAAAGCTGCCAGACTCCGCCTTGTGTCTTCAAGATAGCCATCCAAAACATCATAGAGAAAGCCCTGAAAGAAATACATGTTGATGATATAGACTTGTTATCATATGAAAGACTTTCTGATCTCTAGTCTGTGGACGATAACTTAATTCTCTGTCAACAGGCTCGTCAAATCACAACCAATGAAAAAGTGACAAGTGTTCGTAAGCATGGTATGCAGTTTAGATCATCAAAGCAAAAAGTCCCTCTATAAGGTTCATTGAAGCCTTTACTTGGACACAACCTCACTGACGAATCATTGGTGGTTGTCCAAAAGTATATATGCCTCAGTATTCGTGAGTACTAGTGAACGAACTTCTTGTGGGTATACAAGTTGTTGAAGCATTCCTTTCTGGCTTACACCGAGCCAAGAATACCAGATGACTAAGTGTTTTCAGTCGCCGTTATATTCATAGAATTGCTCGCATCTGGTGGAAATATCATGTGAGTAGTTCTGAGATAAGATGATGGGCATTCGGTAGAGATAAAGAGTACAACAATGTCGAAATACTGACTTCAGTAGCTTCGATATACCTTGTATATGTCAGACCAACAGCTTACATACCGTTCACTGTTCACTTGCTGGAGAACTGGTCAGAGGAAGGAGACTGGTGGTTAGTGCATGATGCAGTGCAACGTAATGAGGGATAGTCCTGCTGGTTTAGTGTTTGTAGATGTCCCAAATCTATGAAGGGGTCTGAGAGACCATGAAACTCGGTGTTTTAAGACGACAGCTGAAATGGTTTAGGTTTGAAACCGATGATGATGATGCTTAAGTTTTAACAATTCTTCTATGACTGTAAGGTAAAACAAAAGTGGTGTCAAATTTTTATAGACCATTTTTCGATAGTTTACTTTTGGTTTAACTTCACTTTGTCTTCGATTTTTGAATCCCTAGGACTTCGACTGATTATTTTGTATGGAGCATCTTTTGGCGCCCGTACTGTACCAAGTTTGTGTTCTGACTGCTAAAAAAAATAATGAGCAGTATATTTTTAGAGAATCAGGACATTGTGATGGGCATATAGGTTGTCGCATACTTTGACCATCAAAGTAACAGTGACTAGGAATCTGACCAACATAGCTGATTGCATCATTACCATGGAAGATGACTAATGGAGAAAGTCAAAGTTAGTTTCCTTGTTCATTAGAATTCTTAGGATTTCGTTGAAAGAGCTTTATAATATATAGTTAGGAATGCCCGAAAATTCTCTTCGACGAACGTGATTAAAATTATGGTGATTCTTTACCATTCGGAGACTTCAGAAACGTTAAGAACCAGAACAGTTATGATGCAAAACTTTATTCCTATGCAACGAATACTCTGTGGTCTGCTTTACTAAAGGTCTAGGACATTTCACCTAGGGAAGGTATATCAATAAGACTGTGTGTTGAATACAATACAGTTTTTGTAGGAGAGACCTCTCGGAAGGTATGAGTATACATGCGAGGGTAGAGACTACGTTTATAACACGATTCAAAATTCTTGGTAGACTTTAAGAGGCTAGAAAACAAATAGGCGATTGATTTCCAACTGATAGGACTAGAAAGAAAATTACGTTGAATCGAACTAAATTCCTACAAAATTACTTTAGTTCAACTTGATGTATATTTGTTATTTGCCTGACATATACACAGATAACACGTTAATGAAGTCAATTACAGTAAGGCAGGTAACCAAGGTTTGTGATAGAAGTTATTTCGATAAAATATCATGATAAAAAATCCACTGAACAATAGTCATACATGAGATTGTAACAAAACAATCACACAACATATTTCAAAAATGTTGATATCCCCTTATTAAAGTGCATCAGTCAGATTTTATGTAACAAACTATTAATTGTTTGTTTTATTTAATATAGGAAAAAACTTTTAGTGGTCCATTTGAAATTGTGTCACTTGTGGGCACATTGACCAATGATGGTCATCCTCACCTACATATTGCATTAGCAGACTCTAAGGGTTGCGTATTTGGTGGACATTTACTTAGAAATACAAAAATTCACACAACATTAGAAATTGTTTTTGGAATAACAGGCGTAGAATCAAATTTATCAGACAATGAAACTTCTGAATTACTTGCCTCCTCTTCTTCTCTACAAATGAATCGGAATCATAAATGTATGGGGATTAGACTCATAAGAAAATATAGTGAAGAAACTGGCTTTGATGAATTGGACGCTGAGATTATTCCGAGCAGCATATCATCGTCTGAAAATGATAAATAAATTGCTTCTTCAGTCATCATTACTAATACTACTGAAAATAATACCAGTAGTATTAGTAGTTAAGTTAGAACCCAATAAAATGAATTGAAATAAATGGATATTTAAATCAAAATTGATCATATTTTGACCATATTTTATAACTGTATTCGGTATGATTTGATGAAAATTAATTTCCTGTTTTTATCTATGTGAAAAAAAATTACTAATCTAATAAAGATAATGAAATTACTGATGGTCAATGACAAAAAAATGAAACAATACTTAATTAAACTATGTTAGAAAAATTAGTTTTCTTTTATAATTGTTTGCATTTTATATCATTCTGTCTTCATGGTGACGATAATCTAGAAAAGCTACAGAATAACCAACTTTCTATTTAACTTTCACAAAGTGTTTGCGTGAATAACTTAACCCATTTCGATACATCGATAATCATATAGGACTTCTTTTTTTCTGTTTGTATATTTTAAGATTGAGTAGAAAATATTTTGGAATCTGATTACTGAAGTTTTATGAGTTTTAAAGATCTTTTATAGTCTATGAAAAATAAAAAGTATCTTTTTCAAGTTTTGACTCGACTAATTTATATAATTTTGTGAAATTGAAGGACACCATAGACTTATCGTTGTCTTTCCGTAAACATCTACGATACTCTTCAAAAATTATATCATAGGCTTAATTAAGTATGAATATGATTCCACAAGGTATTTAAGTTAATTCGAAACTTTCCTGGATAAATTGTAGATTGAAGTCTCCAGGAGGAAGCTTATCACATGTTGAGGAGTGTTCTGTTTGCGAAGGTTTGGTCTATCGTAAAACCAAAAGAAAACAAACCCACTAACAACTACATTCTCCTCTGCTCCTGTTTTGTTATTTGTCTTTCTTTGAAAAATTCCTTTGCGGTTGCATTAACTTGCTTGTCAGAAGTTTTGATGAGTGCTGATGTGAAATGGCCGGTCTGAGCTTTATTTTTTTAGCAAATCCTCCGCCTTCTTGATATATTATTTCTTATCCAAACCTACGAGTTATCTTCAAGCTGTTTTATGTAGAAGAAGGACGCATAATCCAGTTATCATCGTTAAAATCTATTGCAACAACTGGTCATTGTCACCCTCTCTGTTTGCACGAACACTAATGAGTATTCAGATATCATGACATGTTATGTCGTATATCAATTAATACTGACAAGTGTGAGCATAGATTTGATTGTGAAAATGCGGAAATTTTGACAGTGGGAAATATCCGGGGATATCCGGGAATTTCTACAAGCTTAAGAGTCAGTTCAGTCAACAATAAATAGGTGCATATTTGTGGAACCAGTTTGTCAGTCAATGAAAAGTGTTAAACAACTAAATTCAACAAGCAGCTTCCATCTTGGCTCAATGGTTGGAAAAATTGTTCTCTAGGTTTCACCATGCCATAAATTTTGAATGAATAGCTGTTAATGTCAGATTAGAACAACTTTGCTGTATAGCGGAAGGTCTGAGGGTTTGATTTTGACAGCAGTAAAGTGTTTGCTGCACATGACCACTTTTCCAGGCTTTTATTTATTAGAAAAATGAGTTAAATGTCATCCTTGAGATTTTCAGTTAAGTAGTCCCATGGGGAGTAAAATGATAATTGATAAACAGTTATCCGTTTTTAATCTCTTTTTTGTATCCACCAACAGCAGTTTGGATTGAGTGAAAAATAAGTTCTACAGTAAACTATCTAGCTTCCTGGAAATGACCAAACATTGAGATGTGGTTGTCGCAACGGGTAACCAGTAGACAGGCTGGTTGATTGAACAGTCAAATGGCTACAGCTGTGGACTTGCTTAATGAAGTCTAAGTTCTCTTGTTTATCAATAAAGTGACTGATTTGGCAGCAGAAGCCTGCCTCGTAGATTAATAATATGCAAATAACGTAGTTATAATAGATAAAGATGCTGAGATACATAGTACTCTGAACACATTCATCTGATAGGTCAATGAACCACGAAGGCTATGCACATATGTTCCACTTCCCCAATTTACACTACTTATGAAGTTGCCAATAAAGGTGGAAGACAAAAGCAGGCTCGAAGCGTTCGACTATATTTATATTGGAAGTACTGACTGTGTGTCATATAGACCACCATGTTAGTTATGCGTAGAGCTGGGGAAGATGCCAACCATCATCCACCTGTGTGGCTGCAGCATGTTTCGCGAATGCGTACCTAGCTCCTGCCCCAATAGACCACGTCAAATGAGGCAGCATAAGGTTGTGAAAAACCTAAGTAGCTTCAGAATAAAATGTGTTATCAATCCATGAAGGCCTTGACTGTCAATCTGAGCCAGATAAAGGAAGTGTATACTTTGGTGTGCTAGACAGTCTAAGTCTGAGTAGGATGATTATAAACTGATCTAATACCTCATCTTTATCCTAGCCATGATACCAAATTTCATTATTTACACTGCCTCAACTTCCCTCTTTATGCACTTTTACCATTTTTACCTGCGTGTTCCTATCAAGTCGGGCTCATGAGTTGAGCACGCCTGTTTAACTAGTTGACTAGTTACTAGCCGATCCTAAGCTCGGATAATGAGAGAAGGTTGGGCATAGGGCTAGCAACCCTACCCCGGAAAACAAATCCAACCGCTAAACAAACTTCAAAACACAAACAAAATATAAAAAACAATAACAAACTTATTCCTCACTGGAATCGGAGAGGTGAAATGACGCCACCTGGTGAAAGCCTGCCTTCGGGAAGCCAATTGGCCAGGCCAATGTGTCTTCTCTCTCTCAATGAAAGCGAAAGTGAACGTGGGGACATGGAATGTCCACACCATGTTTCAACCCAGCAAGGCAGTCCAGATTGCAAACGAGATGGAGAGGTATCACGTCGAAGTGCTTGGAATTTGCGAAAGTGGATGGAATGGGAGTGGACTCTCCAAACTGTCAACTAGAGAATCAACAATCTACTCCAATATTGTCACCCAGACGACAACCACGAGCACATTGAGTTGTGGAGTGGCTATCATGATGTCCTACCCTCAAGAGCGTCGAAGGCTTTCATGCAGTGGGAACCAATCTCTTCCTGCAGGATCATGACAGCGGTGTTCAACTCGAAAGGAAAGAAGGAAGGTCACAATCATACAATGTTACGCACCTGCAAATAATGCAGGTGAAGAGAAAAAAGAGGAATTCTATGGACAACTACAATCAGTAGTGGACAAGACCACACTTCAGTTGGTGATATCAAAATTCCAATGGGTGACATGAATGCCAAACTGGGAGGGAGCAACACAGGAAGAGAACTAACCATGGGTCGAGAAACACTCGGTGAGGTGATGAATGAGAATGGAGAATTGTTTGCAGAATTCTATGTATTCAACGATTTGGTGATTGGAGGCCAGGCACTGTGTTCAAGCACAAGTATATCCACAAAGCGACATGGATTTCACCAGACACCAGGACACACTAAAAATCAGATCGACTTCATCTTAATCTCAAGAAAATGGAGACGCAGTCTACTTGACACAAGGTCAAGAAGAGGAGCAGATGTAGGTTCACACAACTCACTATCTAGTGCAAGGAACCTTCCAAATCAAATTAAAAGCCTTCAAGGAAGTTGGTGAATGATCACAGCTCAAGTTCGACACCCAGAACAGAAAGTGAACTGATAGAGGAAACTACAAATCACATCTTCGTGGCAGCCAACAGAACAAAATGGGAGATAACAAGCAACATCCGTGAAGAAACGTGTTTGGATGAACACTAGAACTCTTTGAAAGCTATGTGGAAAGAAACCTGCACAGCCGTATTAGGAAGGAAGAAGAAAGAAGATAAGGAATGGATCTCGATGGATACATGGAAGTTGATGGTGGAGGGGGAGGAGGATGGTGAAGCAGAAGATAAACCAGTGCAGTGCAAGGATGCTCAGCGACAAGAGGAACTGAGCACAATGTGTAAAACACTCACTGGACAAAGAAGTGAAGAAGAGTGCACGGAAAGACAAAAGACACTTCTACGAAACACTGGCAAGTGAAGCAGAAGTCTGCAGGTAGGAGAAATCTAACAACATCAAATAACCAGGTTACTATCTGGAAAGAAAGAGATCAACACAGATGAAACCAAGAAAAGACGATGAAAGAAATTTAATTACCAAAGAAGAGAAACAAAGGAAAGAATGGGCCGACCACTTCAGAAAGCTCTTGAATCGACCACCACCTGCTCTTCATCCAGAAATACCACCTGCAGCCACAGATTACCAGTGAACACAAGCCTTCCGACCGAAGTCGAAGTGCTGAAAGCCATAAAGTTACTGAAATGCTGGAAAGCAGCAGGACCAGATGGAATCCAACTAGAAGCACTGAAAACAGACGCAGAGGCAAGAGCGGCCATGCTCACATCTCTATTGCAGAAGGTCTGGGAGGAAGTCTTTGCAAGAACTGGCGCGGAATCATGCTGTTGTCCATCCCAAGCAAAATATTAAGCCCCATAATCCTGGAGAGGTTAAAGGATGCACTGGATTCAGGAAGTACAAATCATGTGTGGACCAAATTTCAACTCTACGCTACGCATCATCACAGAACAGAGCATAAAGTAACAGTCAACTCTCTGCGTCACCTCAACTTCATCAATTTTGAGAAGGCCTTTGACACCGTCTACCGACAAGTAATTTAGCAGCTGCTGCTTCAGTACTACGGAATACCGCAAACCTTTATCAATCTCATTCAACAACTATATGAAGATGCCACATGCCAAGTAATTCACGATGCTTTTGAAGTGAAGACAGTAGTAAAACAAGGCTGTCTGCTATCACTTATGATATTCTTGATTTTGGTGGACTGGGTCAGCAAACAGTGAGGAGCAAGAAGATGGGCATACGCTTGACCCATGAGAAGACCCTAGAAGATTTGGATTTCACCGACGATGATTTATGTCTACTGTCTAATGTCACACAAACTTGAAGATCCATAGACGAAAATTAATAAGTTGACAGAAGAGGCAGGGCAGCGAAGACGGGACTTCAAGTGAATATAGAGAAGACAGAGGTGATGAAGATACCCAACTAACAACAACAACAACAAACTCCAATCACCATGAATGGGAGAAACTTGAAGTAAGTAGCCTCTTTCACCTATCCATCCAGGCAGCACTGTTTCAACTACAGATGGCGTCACAGACGTGGACGTGAAAGCCAGCCAGGATCGGAAAGACAGCAAGACAGGCGTTCATTAACCTGAAAGCAGTGTGGAGACCTTCCGCACTCATCATGTGGAAGAGGATCCGGATTTTCAGCACCAACGTCAAGTCAGTGCTTCTATGTGATGATTCAGAAACTTGGCGTATCATGAAAAGCATTTGGAAAGTACATACATTCATCAACAACTGCCTACACTGGCTCGTTACTGAAGATCAGATGGATTGCCAGAATAATAAGAATAAGCAACAAGGAACTCTGATTGGATGGCAACGAACCAACCAAGAACCTATCACTCAACAAATATGCACTGGAAGGAAGTGAAGATGGGTTGGGCAAACACTGAGAAGACCATCCGGGGTCATCTTTTGCCAGGCCAGGCACTCGAGTGGAACCCCG